TGCCCTTTGCTGTGGTGGTGATAACTCTCTGTCCCGTGCAGGTGTGTGTAGAGGTAGCAGGTGCTGACAGTTGCGTCTCACCACCCCCTCAGGTAGATCCACCAAGTAAGACCTTGGCATGGAGTGATGCTGAAGCACAGTCCCCGATAACTTTGCATCAGTCACCCATACTTTTTCACCTGGTGTTAGGACACAGAGAGCCTTAGCACAAAGGCGCCTGTTGTAGTTTCGAGCATCAGAGATCCTCTTCTCCTTTTCCTTCCCAGCAAAGGTGACGCTATCAGGCAGTGCAGGGTCCAGCTGCGAGGGAAGAACTGGCACTGTAGTGCGAAGACGTCGACCCATTAGTAGTTGAGCTGCGCTCAAAAGAGGTGTAGCTCTATAGGCAAGAAGAGCCAGATAGGGGTCCCCTGCCTTTTTCAGGAGATTCTTCACAGTCTGGACAGCCCGTTCTGCTTCCCCATTGCTCTGTGGAAACCTCGGGCTGCTAGTGATATGCTGAAACCCATAGGAATCCGCAAAGGAAGTGAAAGCTAGTCCAGAAAATTGAGGCCCATTGTCTGACATCAGGACCTCTGGAATGCCATGGCGAGCGAACATTGACTTTAGATGGACGATGACATCAGTGGACCTGGTGCGAGACAGCTGTGCGATATCTACATACCTGGAAAAATAGTCAACAACGAGCAGGTATGTTTTGCCTCCTAAAACAAACAAGTCCGTCCCCAACTTCTGCCACGGTCTGTTGGGGCATTCTGATGGCATCAATGGCTCTTTGTGGTTTTGTTGCTCTTGTATACATGTTCTGCAGTTGAGAACCATGTCGTTCACTTGCTGACTGAGCCCCGGCCACCAAACTGACTGTCGAGCTCGTACTTTGCACTTCACCACGCCTTGGTGTCCTTCATGTAGTTTAGCTAGAACATTGTTCCGCATTGCCGAAGGTATCACAAGTCGTGTGTCTTTCAGCAGTAAGCCATCTTTAACAGTAAGTGTAGCTCGCTCACACCAGTAGCTTTTCAGCACAGGTTCTTGTTTTGCATGAACCGGCCATCCGTCTGTGCATAGGGCCATAACACGAGAACAGACACTGTTACTCTTTCAGGTTTTCCATATATGTGGGACTGGCCGGTAGACTCTCCATGACACAGTCCACATAGATATTGGTGCTCTCCATCAGCTCCTGTTCCTCGGTAGACATGCGTGATGTTACAGGCGAGCGTGACAGTGTGTCTGCTGTCCAAAGCGACTTCCCTGGCACATGCACGATAGTGTACGTGTAGCGCATCAGTCTCATCCTGAAGCGTTGGATCCTTGGTGGCAATAAATCCAGTGCTTGAGCTCCAAGTAGGCTGATGAGGGGTTTATGATAGGTTTCCAGGCAAAAGTGTTTCCCTATAAGGAAATCCCGGAACCGTTCGCAAGCCCATGTGAGACCCAGGGCCTCCTTTTCCACCTGTGCATAGCGTTGTTCGGTTGGGGTAAGTGACCGAGATGCGTAAGCCACAGGCTTCCATTCTCCCTCCCATCGCTGGAGAAGGACTCCTCACAGGCTGTATGATGATGCATCAGCCGACACTTTGGTGTCCTTATTCGCGTTGTACATGACTAGCACTGGAGGTGAAGACAGGGCTCTCTTCAGTGTTTTAAATGCAGCAGCCTGGTCCACGCCCCAGACCCAGCAGTATTTCTTAGAGAGGAGGTCACGGAGCAGCTTGTCTTTTTCCGCCAGTTGGGGAATGAACCTACCCAGCTGATTAACCATCCCAAGGAAACATCTCAACTCTCCGACATCTGTGGGCGCTTTCATCTCCATGATGGCCTCTGTTTTCCTTGCGTCCAGGCGGATGCCGCTGGCTGAAATGATGTGACCCAAGAAGACCACCTCCGACGTGGAGATTTTACACTTGTCCACATTCAGTGTGATTCCCGCCTTTTTGAGCCTTTGTAGCACAGCATGGAGACGTATGTCGTGCTCATCCTGGCTGCACCCCCATACCAACAGGTCATCAATGTGGCAGATCACACCTTCGAGCCCCTCTGTGACCTAGGGTGTAATGAAGGTTGTGTACTTGGCCGATTCCTCTGACAGGGGTATTTGCCAGAACCCCATGTTGGCATCCAGTTTGCTGAAGATTTTTGCCCCAGCTAGCATTCCAAGACTCTGCTCGACTGATGGCAGAATGTTCTTTTCACGACACACATATTGGTTCAAACCAGTCAGATCCACACATAGGCGCACCCTAGAACTGTCTCTCTTTGGCACGACCACCATGCCAGCACACCAGTCAGTGGGCCCCTCCACACAACTGATGACACCGAGGCTTTCCATTCGCTGGAGTTCTTCCTTGACTTTCCCCACCAGTGGCAATGGGATCCTCCTGGGGGTTTTCAGGGAAACAGGCACCGCATCAGATTTAAGCTTGATGGTGTATGTTTGCTGCGCAACCCCACAAGACCGCTGCACAGCTTGGGGTAACTTGCCTTGAGGGCCTCCATGTCTATGCTGTCGACACGTTGGAGTAAACCAAGGGCTACAATAGCTGGCAGCCCGCGCAACGGCATACTCAGGTTTTTGACAACATAGACCTTCTCCTCGGTCTCCTTAGCTCCTCTCCTCAGCTGCAGTCTCGAGAACCCCAACACATGCAGTGGCACCTGTCCTGGACCAAGCAAGGGTTTCTCTGCTTTCAGGAGATGGGGCTGCTGTGCAGTGGAAAAAATGTTGTTAAAAACAGTCTGTGGCACCACACTGACATCTGCTCCTGTGTCAAGTTTGAATGTAATGGTTTTGTCCATTATCTTAACATCAACAGTCCATGGATCCATATCTGAAGTCACAGAGCCAAGAAAGAAACTTTCCTCTTGTTTCTCTATACCGTGCACAGCTTTTCCAGCAAAACACACACGCTGGTAGTTACCTTTCTTTCCACAGGAACGACACTTTGCGTCTTTGGCTGGGCAGTCATGCTTAGGGTGAGGTAAGCCTCCACACTTGTTGCATTGGGAATCTTTTGGTGTTTTGCTCTGAAAGTTGTGTGTCTTGTGTCCCTTGTTTTTGCCTTTAGCAAATTTAGTCTTTTCTTTGTGTAAACACAGTCCACAGAGCTAACATCCATGTGTTTTACACCACCATCACTCCTAATCATGCTTTGCTGCTTTTTAATCTCCTCTGATTGTCTTGCCATATTAATAGCTTTTTCAAGATCCAAATCCTTTTCCATTTGCATGCGTTCTGAGAGCCTTGTGTCCGCCAGTCCAACAACTATTCTGTCTCTTATTAATTCGTCATGTAGTGTTCCATAGTTGCAATGTTCCGCTAGTGCGTACAGTGCAGTGACAAATGCATCCACCGTCTCATTTGCTTCTTGTCTTCGCATATTGAATCTTGCACGCTCGTACACTACATTCTTTACCACAACAAAGAACGATTGAAAGCCATCTCTCACTTTGACGTACTGGCGCTGGTCGGCGTCGCTAAGCTTAATACCTCTCAGAACGTCATCTGCCTCATCTCCCATACAATACATTAAGGTATTCACCTGGTTCTCGTCGGAGCTTGTCGTTAGAGTGCTCGCCTGGCGAAACCTCTCGAACCTCCTTATCCACTTTGTCCACTTGTGTGGCTTCGAAAAATCAAAGGGCTCAAGTGGCTGAATATTAAACGTAGAGCCGGGCGTGTTAGCCATTCTGCTAACTACCTCCCCACTCTGCTCGTCTCTGCTGTTACTCATTTGTCTTTACTCACTCTGTCCCTTTTCTTTGTTTCTCTGTCCGAGCCGACTCACGTTACAGTCTCCACAGCACTTCTGACACCATGTCGTGTTGTCAAAAGAATACATCTGCGTGAGACAAACTGTGAGCTGAACGTGAACTCTTTATTGTTGTTTTCTTACCCCGCTCCGTCCACCTTCCGCTTCCTGCCCTCACATATCTCATCATGCCCTGCATCCAGGCCCGCCTCCTATCATCTAAGGTCAAGCTTTACACATCACTAATAACAACACCACAGACGCTACTACAAAGATGTGTTGCATTAGCATTATCAGAGCATATAAACAACACGCAGACATCTTGTTCACTCTACATGGACAATAAACTAACTGTTATAACCTTATTGCAAATTACATGTTTGCAAAATATGTAAGTTCTGTATACTTTATGTCCCATGTACACTCTCTTTTTTCAAAAAAGATTTAAGGTGGATAAAAAGATTCTCATTATTCCGACACCACATGAATGCACAGTCACCCCTGTGATGTCAGTCACCCCTCCCTTTCCAAGTAAGCAGGAGAAGCTGCCGACACGCTCTGTCTGCTCTTGTGCTAAATAATACGTGTGGGACTACATTTGTCCACATTTCTCTTCTTTTCAGCCTTCTAATAAATCACTCAACTACTACTACTACTACTAATGTTACCGGTTCTTCTCCTTCTTCTTTTTTTCGTACATATTCAACGTAGTGGCAAACCATGCTCTGTATAAACTTTTGTCTGTTTGGGCTACTGTAGAAACATGGCGGCGCAACATGGCGACGCCCATGTAAGAGGACCCACTGTGCATATAGATAGAAATGACTCATTCTAAGGTAATAAAAACGAAACAAGTCACTATGTAAGGTCTTTACACCACTGAAAACATAGTTATCTACATTATGTTGCATTTCTGTCAATAGATCCTCCTAAATATTACACACTGGACCTTTAAATCAAATTTGAGGCTTCGGAATAATATCTCACACTGGACTGTAACTTTTACTTTCCTGTATATATCTTTCTATTTGTATTTAAATGTCTTTTTGTATTTAACATTTTGTCTTTTATGTTATGTAAAGCATTTTGAAGCCTACTTCCCAAGCCTATTATTAAAGTGCAGATATATAAAGATAATTAAACTGCACATCTGTTTCAATTCATGTGTTTGTGTATTTGACAGTGTGTGCATACACTCACACCTCCCACTGCCATGCCGACCCTCTGTTTCCTCTTCCCTGTCTGAAGGTCTGTATGAGCTGCTGGCGGCTCTGCCCTCCCAGCTGCAGCCCCATGTCAGCCGCCCTGAGGACAACACCTTCCTCCAGGACATGTTTGGGGAGAGAAGCCTCCACTCGCTGGTCAAGGTAAAGCAAAAAAGGCATCTTATTCTTGTTTGTGTTCAAGTTTTGCTTAGTGGTTCAATTAAGATATTTTTTTTCAGATTTAAACACCCATGTTGCTTCTGCCAAGGCACCGCAGTTCATAGAGCACATTCATATCCATCATGTTTGGGAAGCTTCAGTTCTTCATAGATTCATACTTTCAAACTAGCAATTTCTATCTCCAGCACTAGAAGAGAAATCATTTCCTTACAAATCATGTTTTCTTTAACCAGCATGTAGTTATACTCGCATTATGAAACTTAAGTGTCAGTTCCATAATCATGAATTACTAAATTTAACTAGCAATTTCACAATCATATCTGCAAAGTTTTTCACAACTAACAAAATTCCCCTTCACATGTTCAGAGATGACGTTCCAACCTGAAGGCAAATAATAGGATTTAGGTAGCTTCATATAGGTGGATATCTTTCATCTTGTTTTTTAAATTTTCAATAATAAATATAAAAATGTGAAATAGTAGGAGGACTTATCACAGCCTCAGGCCTGACAGACAGTATTATAACATAAGATTTTAAATCTTCCTAAAATCTGCATCTAAGTCTAAATTACCCACCTTCACAGTCACATCCTTCCTCTCGTGGGACTGACTTTCTCGCGACCCCAACCCCTGAGCCGACCTCTCCAATTCACATAAAAGCACACGCTTGCACCTCAACACTGCTTTATTCACCCTCCTTCCTTGCAGTCTTATTCATACATTACTAAGTTTATTGTCATTCCATCAGTCTACCCACCCAGATCTTGTAACGCCCGCTCTGCCAGTGAACGGGCCTGTGGTCCAGTTACTGCCTGTTAAACTAGATAGCTGCAGAGTTTTGGGGGAAGATGAGCACACTTGATATCTTTATGCTAGCAGACAGACAGAGGTAATGAATGTAACACATTCTGTCTGTCTGCCCAAAACTCATCTTCCCTTGAGATTCTCTGCAATCTGGAGCCAATCTCCTTCTTCATCTCCTGCTATTGGAAACGGAATCGCAGGGTTTTTGTCACATGGGTTTTTCTACTGCAAGTCAGCTTTTAAATCACTACCAAGTAAATATACGTTAGAACTGCTTCAGCTCTTTCTCTAGTTCATTGTTGTAACTGAGAATGCTTTAATAGTCAATTTACGGAGAAAACTTGTAATTGTTAGAGCTATATTTTACTGTACCCTTTGTACTGCTCAAAAAAATAAAGGGAACACTTAAACAACACAATGTAACTCCAAGTCAATCACACTCCTGTGAAATCAAACTGTCCACTTAGGAAGCAACACTGATTGACAATCAATTTCACATGCTGTTGTGCAAATGGAATAGACAACAGGTGGAAATTATAGGCAATTAGCAAGACATCCCCAATAAAGGAGTGGTTCTGCAGGTGGTGACGACAGACCACTTCTCAGTTCCTATGCTTCCTGGCTGATGTTTTGGTCAATTTTGAATGCTGGCGGTGCTTTCACTCTCTCTTTCACTCTAGTGGTAGCATGAGACGGAGTCTACAACCCACACAAGTGGCTCAGGTAGTGCAGCTCATCCAGGATGGCACATTAATGCGAGCTGTGGCAAGAAGGTTTGCTTTGTCTGTCAGCGTAGTGTCCAGAGCATGCAGGCGCTACCAGGAGACAGGCCAGTACATCAGGAGACGTGGAGGAGGCCGTAGGAGGGCAACAACCCAGCAGCAGGACCGCTACCTCCACCTATGTACAAGAAGGAGCAGGAGGAGCACTGCCAGAGCCCTGCAAAATGACCTCCAGCAGGCCACATATGTGCTTGTGTCTGCTCAAACGGTCAGAAACAGACTCCATGAGGGTGGTATGAGGGCCCGACGTCCACAGGTGGGAGACTGGAGACGCCGTGGAGAACGTTCAGCTGCCTGCAACATCCTCCAGCATAACCGGTTTGGCGGTGGGTCAGTAATGGTGTGGGGTGGCATTTCTTTGGGGGACCACACAGCCCTCCATGTGCTCGCCAGAGGTAGCCTGACTGCCATTAGGTACCGAGATGAGATCCTCAGACCCCTTGTGAGACCATATGCTGGTGCGGTTGGCCCTGGGTTCCTCCTAATGCAAGACAATGCTAGACCTCATGTGGCTGGAGTGTGTCTGCAGTTCCTGCAAGAGGAAGGCATTAATGCTATGGACCGGCCCGCCCGTTCCCCAGACCTGAATCCAATTGAGCACATCTGGGACATCATGTCTCGCTCCATCCACCAACACTACGTTGCACCACAGACTGTCCAGGAGTTGGCGGATGCTTTAGTCCAGGTCTGGGAGGAGATCCCTCAGGAGACCATCCACCACCTCATCAGGAGCATGCCCAGGCATTGTAGGGAGGTCATACAGGCACGTGGAGGCCACACACACTACTGAGCCTCATTTTGACTTGTTTTAAGGACATTACATCAAAGTTGGATCGGCCTGTAGTGTGGTTTTCCACTTTGATTTTGAGTGTGACTCCAAATCCAGACCTCCATGGGTTGATAAATTTGATTTCCATTGATCATTTTTGTGTGATTTTGTTGTCAGCACATTCAACTATGTAAAGAAAGGAGTATTTAATGAGATTATTTCATTCATTCAGATCTAGGATGTGTTATTTTAGTGTTCCCTTTATGTTTTTGAGCAGTGTATATGGTTTCTATTTTGAAAGAATGTCCAACACTGTTTTTGAGTGCTGGCATGATAAATTTCCCCCTTTGGTGGTCTGTCTCTCTCTCTCTCTTTCTCTCTCTCTCTCCAGCCAGTATCATTATGTCACAGAGACGATTGAGGGAGAAAAATTGACATAATTTTCATCCCCTCCCTTTAAAGAAATCTTTTCTGTGTAAGCATGTTTGTTCAGGATCCAAGGTTGTAACGCGCCAATGTGAGCATGTTAAAGTGCCTGAATTATGGCATACCTCATATGCTGAAGTGAAACCCTGATGCCGGGACTTGAGGAAACCAGAAGGGTTTCATTTGATGCTTGGATTGTTATGGATGGCCCAAGAATAAGGCAATTTGAACAAGGATAATGATGGGCAGGTTCAGGCTCTCATTCTCACCGGCCCCAAAGAAAACACTGCGTAGTGTGGGGCAGAGAGAATACTGCTAATGAAGGTGGCATTATGTTTCTGTGATATTTAGCCAGGCATAAGGGTGGAGCTCCCAGAATTCACCTAGCCCTCTAACCACCCCTGATTATACCTAGCTAAACTTTCAAGAGGAACTCAAAGGGGAGAAACTGCCAGTGCTGTTCACACAAAAGTGCCATGTCCTCACAGGCTCTTTACCCGGACTGCAGAAAGCTTTGCACCAATTACTAAAATTATTTGGCCTTAAATTGTCCAAAAAAAAGTAGGTTTCCTTCTGGAGTGTTCTCCATCACATCACATCTCCTTCCTGTGTTATTTTTTCTTTAAATTGCTAGAGCAGCAACATTGATGTTTAAAACAGCAAATATTGCACGTACTCACAGTAACAAGCATAGCTGTCAGCAACTCGAGTAGTTTGGAGCTAACTTAAAGCACAGTAGTATAAGATTAAATTATTTTTAAATGTAAATCATGCTGCCAGAGAGGAGTCAGCGAACTACAATAAAGGGCTGGAAATGCAAGATAATAGGTCTTCTTTAACTTCACTGTCTCCACTGCAACGGAGCGGAATCTCTCTTTGCTGGCTGATGTGTGTATAGGCTATGTAGGAGCCGACAGGGAGCAGCAGAGGCTGCAGCCTGATTATACAGTCCCGGGCCCGTTTAAATGGACACATGTAATTTACTTTACCGGACCCTCTTGGGCCTCGGACCCACCCACCATAATAACCCTCCAAATCCTGTGGGAAACACTGAGTAAAAAGCACATGTTGACTATTTAATTTATGCAATAGTAAAAAAAAATTGTCAAAATAAATGGGGAAAAAAACCTTGTTCAGTAATCGGGAAAGTTTTTCATTATATTCGGTTTTGGGGCTTCGACCAAGAATTTTAATTTTGGTGCATCCCTAGTCAAGTCTAGATCAAGTATGTCAGTGTAACATCAAATAACCGCATTATTTCTCCACCAAAAAGAACTTCTTTTACCTATTTTCTTATTCATTCTTTTTATTCGGCGGACAGAAACTGAGCTGCTTTTAGCGTCTCTTATCATTAATGTGGAGGCATAAATGGAAACTGCCCCGCTCCAGACAAGTACAACTATGTGTTTCCTCTGCTTTCTACTTGGTACTGAGACGTGAGCCAGCCTGTCAGCCAGTGAGCCAAATGGACAGACAGGCAGACTTTGAAACACACAGAAGTACAGAACAACCATCTCGCCTTACAGCTGAGACCAGCACTCAAACGCAACATTCAGGTGAACATGGCTAACATCAGTGGCACACTATTAATAAAACCTTAATCGCCCCCTTCCTCTAAAGCCCCACCACCAAATCTCCACAGATTCCACCTTTATTCCACAAGGCTGTGAAGCGGATACTTTGAGAATGGCTAAACAGCAGAGAGAAAACACACACATCATGTTAATCTGACAGACTCTGCAACCCAGGTCGCTCATATGGAAACGCTCAGACCTCACCTGAGTAATTATAGAGCATCAGTTACTGGTCAGTCTGTCTGGAGGGAGAGAGAAGGACCAGGGGAAGAGGTGTCAAAGATTGAGAGAGAGAGAGACAAGAAAGAATAAGAGAGGATTCAGACCTACACAAATACTCCAACCAGACTTCTGTCTCTCCTCACCTGTCCTCATCACATTGTTGGGAAAGCCTCTCACGTCCCTCCTAATCCTGTTATGTCACAGAGATGAAACAAATATTATCTAATATCGTCTTTCAGCAGGGACTAGGAATTACAAGTTTGTCTCCTTTTGCAGACTTCGTCAGTGCAGCATCAGAGCTGACATGAAATGTGAGCACTTACATGTATAGCTAGCATAGCTAAGATGACGCGACAGTTCCCCTCTTTTCAATTAAAGGGAGTTACTCAAGTGTATAAATTCCGCC